TCATGTTCTGCTGATTGGTAAAAGTGATCCCAAAATTATAGGATTAAACAGAGCATAAAAGCACAGGATCTAATTTGAATTTTTGGAGCTCTATGGAGCTTCCTGAAAATAGAGAGTTTAAATTTCACTAGCATTGATAGTGCTTCTTCCCTTTATACTTTCAAAACTACTTGATACCATCAAAAGGGGCTGAATGCACACCACATTTTATTTCAAGAATAAAGAGGACACAGAAAAAAACACTGCTTGGTCTTCTCCAACCTCTTTCAATGTGTTGGAATATAATTCCAAAGGATGACTATTGGTTATAGGGCCTTGGAATTCTGGGAGCTACAATATGGTTGTTTATGTCTCATGCATATGAAGTATATAAAAATAGCACACTGTTAGACAAAATCCTAAACACCGAAACATGGTTAATATTATTTTCTGGAATAACTAGATGCTACAAAATAATGGAAGGGTCACTTCTTTTCACAAGTCTAGCAATAACATACAATAACTATCAGAGACTCATGTATAGGTCCCACCACATCTAGTGGCTAATCTGGAGGACTGGTGAATATGTAAGGCAAGAACTCCTTTCCAATAGTAGGATTCCACCTTGGGAAAAATCAGGAGGTTTCCTCCTTGCTCTGCTTTTGACAGGCAATAAATATTGTTTTGTATGCTCAGACCTTTAATACTCTATGAATCTTTGGCACACTTGGGTTTATTTACTTATTTAGGTTTGACATTATCTGATAATAAAAATTCTTTGTGTAGTATTAAATAAAAATACAATTAAAGGATAATGAAAAACAGCACAATATACTCAAGATAAAATCAGCAATAAAGCTAATAGAAGAAATACAGTAAATCACAGGAGAACAAATGGCACAGAGTTCTAAAAGTATAATGTTAGAATCTGGGATAATCCACTGAAGCTAATTGTAGGGAGAATCAGGCCCAGTGAAGTACTTGGTTTTTGTTTTTTTAAACACAACACATAAATTATGGAACTTGCTGCCACTATATGTGGTAATGATCATCAACATACAGTTTTAAAAGGAAACTAGATAAGCATGGAGGAAGTGGCTATCTATGGTTGGTAGCACTAAAAACTGATGATGTTCAGGAAGATATTAAAGACTGGGTTGTTCTCCTAAGCCTTGGAATAGGTTGATAGTGAAGCCTCTGTTGCACAGTTTTTGTGTGTGTATATATACATGTCTAGCTTGAGAGCCAGTTTGGTCTAATGACTAAGGCCCCAGGCTAGAAACCAGGAGGCTGTGAGTTCTAGTCCTGCCTTAGGCATGAAAACCAGCTGGGTGACTTTGGGCCATGATGTCAGTCTCGGGAGACAAGCCGGTCTGTCAATTCCTGTTGCAACCAATGGATCAACGTTCAGGTAAGTAAGTAAGTAAATAAATCAGACCCTGCACTTGTAGGAAAAATGCTAGGGGAAAAAAATGTCTAGCTTCAGGCCACTTATGAATTTTACTGTTGTTTATGGTATTGTTCTTGCTTTTTAAACTGTAAACTGCCAGGAGTTGTTAGGGTTAGGTGGCCTCTCCGTTGTTCAAACAAACGCTTCCAGAATCCAAGGCACCACACCCTAGAATCCACCTGCTAAGAACCAATACAGAAGGAGGCAACTACCACCCACATGTCATGCTTCTCTGGTTAATATGTGACACACAAAGCTATTCTAATGGATGGTTGTATTAGCCAACTCAGCTATTAGTCAGCCCCATCCATTTTGATCACAGGCAGATTCAGATGGAACGCTGTCTGACATGAGATTAACTAGGGCAAAGCTATCTTAATTTAGGGTATAATCTTTATCAGACTAAGATGATAAAACCTCCACCAAGCCATGGACAATGATGGATCCAGGAGTACTCCTAAGGTTTATACCTGGTTCCCCAGGAGAGCAACTCACCTCTCCAGGACAAAGTGAACTTAACTGGCCAAATTCTGAGTATCTCCATCTTGCCTTGATTAAGCCTCATTCTGTAGTTCTTGTCCCATCCTTAACATCACTCAAGAATTTCTGAACCACATGTGGTGGTGGTGGACCTATGCCCACATCTTCCTATATGTAAAAAGGCAGGAGATCTTGGGCAAACAGAGTGTGTTGTCTCTGATGAAAGAGTCCCCTACATGTGCAGAGTCTGTGGCATCCACAGGATCTTGCTCCTTTTGTCAGAATGATGAAAACTCTGTGCCTTTCACACACACATCCATGCCCAAAAGGAGCACAGCTTGTGTCTCAAAGCTGCTTTTGTCAGTCTGATCCGCCTTGCCCCCATGCACCACCGTGGATAGTATACATTTATCCCTTCATGCTCTTGTGACTTTAAGTGAGAGCTGTAGTGTAATAGATGCCATTCCAGTTCTGCTTTCTCAAAGCACAGGATGTAGGTTTGAAGACAACTAATACAAGAAAGCTGGAAGAAAAGTCAATATACTCCAGTGTTGTAGTAAGTCACTCTTGGCCACTGAGGTGCATTCAGAAAGCTCATAAGATTGGCCAAAAGAGTAATAATTCTCTTTTCTCGCTAGTCTCAAAAGCTGGTGTTCAAGGAAGCAGAATCATTCACCAACACCAGGAGCCAGTGATATCTGAGCCACATGGAACCTATTTATAACTGCCTAAATTGGTTATCACACTGTTACCTGAAATTTTAGGCTTCATTATTAGCATTTTAATAAAGGTGGTGTTACAAGGGCTCCCAGGTTCGGCTTATGGTCACTCACATACACTCACAGCTTGTTGAGGCATGTGGATCTTGTAAGTCCCCCTTGCTTTCTACCTGGGTTTTACAGAAAGCAGACAAGGCACAGCCTTGGGCAACAGGAGGGAAGTAATTAGGGATACGCACACATCACTTTCAACTGAACACTGAGGCACAACAGGTTCTTTGGAATACATGGAGAACCAGTGATGTTAAAGTAACAACAAACCTTTACTGGTTACAATGTATACCTGCTTTCTCACACACACTCAAACACTACTAGGCTGCCAGGCACTAGCTAGAGGGACAGAAGCTACCAAGTCTGGATCCAAAGACAACTCAAAGACCACTCAAGGAGTGGGTGGGCTTCAGGATCCCTTTTATCCCCAAAGTCCTTGCTTATGTTGGCAGCTGCTCTTGCCTTGTTCTGGTTGCTGTTGATGGGATTGGGGAGGGGTTTCCATGTGCTGAGGCCCAACTTCCTTTGTCTGGTTCAGGTGACGTTATTTTCCTTTGTTTCCTTAATGACTTGTTTCCTTCTTATCTATCTCCCTGAAGGGATCTTTAAGATTCCTGGCTTTTGTCCTCTCTGCTTACGTGCCTGCTTCATCTTTTAGTTATGGCAGTTTCAGCCTAGTCTCACAGTGGTATTAGCATTTTAGCATGGCAGCCATGACTCCTTTTGAAGTTTAGGAAACCATGTTTTTCCTTTTAACCAAAGCCATTTCCTTGATGTGCTAAAACTAGCTCTTTCAGGGACCATCAATCAAACAATAGGGCTGTATTCTTAAGTCCTTGAGTGTTGCAAGTGTTAAAGCAACAAGCTGGGTGGGAAAGGAGGAGATGCAACATATTTTAAGGGTGTCTGTCTTTTCTCACATCTAATCAATGTCTTTTATTGTTTGATTGTTTTCTGATGCATCACATATATCCAATGTATCATTTGTTTCTGTACCCTATATGAAGACTTGATTCCCCTTTAAAAAAATGCCTTTCACTTTGCCTGAAGTACTTGTGGTTCATATTGTTGGGGCTCAACAAAGGCACTTTGCAAAGTTTTTGGGCATTTCTCAAATTCAGGGACTAGTTTTTTTCCAGCTCAGGTGCCTGAGCTTTATGGGCAATACCTGCTGGTAACCGGTTTTACAGCTTTAACC